AATAGGATTCTCTGATATATGTGATAGAAGACTGGTTAAATGGGACAATCATTTTTGTATTGGAGACAAGAATCAAAAGGAAGCATTCTTCAGAAGCTATTAACTGGGAAATAATCCCCCCAGGTTAGTAGAAACATGCTAACTGGTCAGTCTGCTGTCTTTTTTAGGCCTTTTGATGAAAATGCCTTGTAATTTGATAACAGATTGTTACTCATTTGTAATGTAATTTTTTCCTCACCAGTTTAGCTACTTCTTGAATTGGGGAAAATAATTTTTCAACTTATGTTAAGTAATGATAGTGAATTTTCAAGATATATTAAAGACACAAGAGACATAGCAGCATATTATGATTGATAGAATTATAAATGAAATAAGTAGTGTTTGATGCCAGTGTATGCATGTGTATGTGAGTACTATTTACTAATGTGTATGACTATGTTCTATGTATTGAAGATCTTCATATCACCTTAACTTAACCTCTATTTATAGAATGATAGACTTATTAGGCACACATTTGTCAATTACTCCCTACCTGTGAAACCCTATTCTAGAATCCTGTTCTGAGTACAAAACTGAGTAGGATTTAGTCAATGCCCTATATCAGCCTTCACAGCTTTTGTTTTAGTTAGAAAAATGAGACCTATTTATAAATATAATAATAAAAGACTGAAAGTGATAAATATGTTCATATAAATGTGTCTATATAAAGTACTATAGGAAAGTGCAAAGAAAAGAAGAATTGTTTTTATTCATGAGAATTTAAAAAATAGAATTTTTGGAGTTGATTTAATTTAACTTGGCCCTTAAAGATTGGTTAAGCTGCAGTGGGCAAAATAGGAGTAAATGTATTGTAGGCATAGAAAGATAAATCGGCAGAGGTGAACAATTACTATATTCATATGGGTAACAGTGTTCAGTATAGTTAGAGTAGTAGATATGTGATGGAAATGAATAGGAACTCTACCTATAAAGATGAATGGGGGACTGGGGTTGTGGCTCAGTGGTAGAGCACTCGCCTAGCACATGCAGGGTGCTGGGTTCGATCCTAAGCACCACATAAAAATAAAATAAAGGTATTTGTATACGACTAAAATTAAAACAAAATATTTTAAAAAATAAAGATGAATGGGGCAGATTGTAGGAAATTGTAAATATTAGATTAAAATTTAGAAGTTAGTTTTACAGGTCGTTGACATCACTGGATACTTTTCAGTAATGTGAAAATATATTTTTTCTTTATGAAAATATCACTAATAAATGACTATAGCATACACTGAAAAGGATCAATCTAGAGGGTATTAGATCAATCAGGAAGTTCTTCAGGCAGTCTATCTAAGAAAGAATATAAAAAGTGACTTTACATTGTTAGTGTATCCACTTTAGACTTGTATTACCTTTAAGTTAATATTTCTTAATATCTACTTTGGAAAATTAATGTTGTATTGAAATTACTGGTACCAGGAATTCAAAATACATGTAAAATGCACTTTATCTATACAATCCAATTATTTCACATGGAACTTTCTAAAGTTCCTATGCTCTAAATTCATTCGCAACCAACCAAATTAAATTGATTTAAAAATGCATCAATTTTACTGACGTACATGGTGATTGTTTAAATAATAGCACATATAATTAAATTAAGAGCCTGCTTCTTAAAAAGAAAGTAAAGAATAGTAACTAGTTAAGATAACCTGTAATTTGACAAAGAGTTAAAAGGTCTTCATTACTAGGATCCTGAACATTAGAAATGTTGACCTGGAAATTATACATTTGACTCTGGAAAGCCCATGATTTATGTCAATCTGTTTGAACATGTTACTCTAATTTTCTGGAAACACAGTCTTTCCAAAACTATCAAAGACTTAGAATAAAATAGGAAAAGGATCAAATCAATTTAAATAAAGGGAAACAAACAGAACAGAGTTTGGTCAATGTCAATCTGGGATGATTTTTTCCCTAATTTTCTGAGTTCTTAATATAAACTATCTTATATTGTGAAAAATAGCTATGGAAATTTGAAAAGTCACAAAAGATGGGGGTTTCTCATCTCATCATCTAGATGGCATAGGATTCCATTTATTGGGCTAGGCCTTTCCATCCTTATTTATCTCCTAGGTGTGTGTTTGCTTATTTCCAGAGATACTAGTTTTGAGTCAGACATAAAAATGTTTCAAATTCTGAAAATAAGAGGTTAGGAAAGAGATACTTTTCTTTATGCTTTCTCTTTCATTTTGTCCATGTGAGTTAGTGTACCTCTTTAGCAACATCAAGTTATAGGCTGCTAGTTGAAAAAATGCTTTGAATTTCTTTTTGAATTTATTGTTAATAAGACTGCTAGAATTCAGGAAACCAGAAAGAATATTCCACATTATAAATCATCCAACTATCCCATACCTCTATACAGAATACTTCTTATTGTGTGTGTGCAAATTGTGTGTGTGTGTGTGTGTGTGTGTGTGTGTGTGAGAGAGAGAGAGAGAGAGAGAGAGAGAGAGAGAGAGACCCTCCATAGTTAATGATCTGGCCCAATTATTTCATCTAGTATGATTTTTCTACTATTCCAGATTATTACTTCCTAAATATCAAATAATGATACTTTTGAAATGGATAGTCATGATTCTCTAGAGAAACAGAACCAACAGGATATATATGTAGCTCAGGACAAGAGGGACTAGTGATGCAACCCTTTTCCATAGAAGGCCTAGAAAATCTCTGAAGAGTTGTTGGTCAGAGTCTCCTTTGGAAGAGTGAAGGAGCTGGAGTCTGATGTCTTCAGGCTACCATGGAAGCAATCCAAGACTGCATCAAGAATTGAGCTTTGCCTTTGCTGCTCCTTTCTCCTCTTTCCACCCTCATGTTTCATCCAGATACCCACCATATTGGACTGAGCTGCTCACAGATAGGTTGGGTATCCTCCTCAGTTTGCTCTCCCACATGCCAATCATTTCTGGAAGCACCCTCATTGACATACCCAGAAGCCTCTTAATCACAGCCATCCCTTAATCCAATCAAGATGTCAATTCACATTAACCATCACAGATGTCTAGGAGTCAGAATTTTCCTTTACACCTATCTATTATACTTGGTCAAAATGAATACTAGATGCTTGTAGTCTAAAAATGTCAGTTGAGTTTCTTATCAGAATATTCGCCACAGCAATTTCAGGAAAACCTAAATGCATTAAATATTTTACAGAGTTAGAGGCAAAAACACCTAATCCTGTGAGTGCTACTCTGAGAAAATAGACAGCTCTATTTGAAGCAGCTTTACATACAATATTGAAGAATTCTTGGCCATAACACACTAATAGTTAGATTTTCCTTTTCCTTTTGTTTTTCTTAAACTGGGGATTGGGCCAAGAGGCATTTACAGAGAACCATATCCCCAGTCCTTTTTATGTTTTAAATTTGTGACAGGGTCTTAGTAAGTTTCTTAGGTCCTCACAAAGCTGCTAAGTGAAGTTAGCCAATCCCCCCCAAAACAAATGTCAAATGGTTTCTCTGATATAAGGAAGCTGATTCACAGTGGGGTAGGGAGAGGGAGTATGGGAGGAATAGAGGAACTCTAGATAGGGCAGAGGGGTGGGAGGGGAAGGGGGGGCAGGAGATTAAAAATGATGGTGGAATGTGATGGACATAATTATCCAAAGTCCACGTATAAAGACATGAGTTGGTGTGAATATACTTTATATATAACCAGAGAAATGAAAAATTATGCTCTATATATGTAATATGAATTGTCATGCATTCTGTCATATATAAAAAGTCAATAACAAAATTGAAAAAATAGACCCAGTTCTAGAGAAATTTGCATAAATGTTACAGTTGGGCAGTAGCTTTTTTTACTTCTACCTGGTGTTGTTTCTTCTCAATATGCATATGGTTATTCTATAGTTATTATCTGTACAGCATCATGGACCTATGGCTGTGTCAGGCACCAGGAAATAGAAACATTAGGAATAATACATAGTTTCTTCCAGTAAGGAGCTTAAAGCCATGATGAAAGATATTTGACTAATATAAAATGAATAAGTGATGTCAGTAAGTGATTATTTTGAAAGTTCTGTATTCTCCCTGACTTATAATATGATACTTAAGGTGAAGTGATTCAGATAGGTGCATAACTATAGATAGCTATAGATAATTCCAGTTTTAACATCTAGCCTTTATGATTCCTCCTGAAATATGTTTTTCCATCATAGTTGGGGCCAGTAAAGGATTATTCTATTTTTTCAGTTTCTTTCTAATTCTATATATTAAATATTTAGTTACCATAAACATAATGCAGACCATATTAAAAAGGCTGGTTTTTGGAACAAATAATATTTGTAGATGTTTTGTTGGATTATTTTTGGTGTTCTTTTAAGTAGTACATAAATATTTGGAATAAAATTTCACAATATTGAATGTAATCAACAACTATAACTTCCAAAACATTTTCTAATTTTCTGAAATGCACATTTCAAAAAATATGTCAATAATTGAATTTGTGTTCTCAAAGCCATCTTTAGGAAAACTTAATTTTTGTTATATATTTGAATTTTTCTATGTTATTTTCTCTTTCTCTCCCCTTTGTCTCCTCTTAATGCTAATTTGTTCTATATCTCTCATTTTTCTGTGGTAGTGATACCTGCTACAGATCAATAATATATCAACTAAGTGTAGGCAACACTTCAGTTGATTACTCTTACTCTCTGTCTGTAATTCAATTTGAATTGAGTTAATGGATTAGTACAATATATTTTCAGCTTTATTCTAAGACTATGACTCATTTCTGGGGTGTTTGTCTATATAAGTTAAAGTTCAGATATTGCATGATTTATTGTATATATTCTTGTACTATTGTTAGTAGTCAATACTTTTCTCATACAATGTTTGTACTGAAACTTTGAACAACTATGGTAGAAAACTAAGAATTTGTCAGAGTACTAGAAGATAATGATTCTTTCCATCTTTTATAACACTGCTATTAGTTTTTGGTTATAAGTGATCACTGACTTGACCAAATGATTTTTATTGTGGCAAAATGTCTTATACAAGGGCCATGCTAATTTTCTCTGTATTTTTCCAATCTTTGTATATGTGCAGCTGAAGTGAGGAACAATATATATATATAATTTTAAAGTCCCCAGAATCACTTTGAGAATAAGAATATTTTATTATTTTCCTCTGGCTTAATGAATTTAAGACAGGTCTAAGAGACCATGTTTAATGATAAAGTTGCGGATAGATTTCTAATGGGTGTGGTGGTGTCTTTGAAGGAATCCTGTACTTGATGATGGGAGACCTGAGGAAAGAGATTACTGATACTGTTGTTGGGTGCCCATCAATTCAGGTAGTCTCCCTGAATTCCTGGGATAACTCTTGGGAACACAATCTCATTCTAATTTCCTAAATTGGAGGTATTCAGTTACTCCAGTAAGTACTCTCTATCTAATGCATACTCTCACCTAGATTTATAATAAAATTTTCTGGAAATGCCGCTACTGTTTTAAAAATCACAGATGCATAAACTGTCATGGCTACAAGATTCTTATGCTGTATCTTTAAATATCTAGGAACTATATAAAAATGATCAAATAGTCACTTCAGGAAATGTATAACCTAATCGAATGTATACCTACTATTAGAAGAGTTTATATACATCAAAAATTCTTTTAAAATATTTTTAGGTGTAGATGGACACAATGCCTTTATTTTATTTATTTATTTATTTATTATTATGTAGTGCTGGGGATTGAGCCCAGTGCCTCACACATGCTAGGCAAGTACTCTATCACTGAGCTATAATCCCCACCCAGGTTAAATATGCTTTAAAAAGAAAATGGTCTATTGAGTAGTACAGCATGATAATTGATAATTTTCTTACTAAGAAAGTATAAAAAGCTGAAACTTTTCCAATTTAAAATGATTTCACCAGTAACAGGTATAACTCAATTAAATATACAGACATAGAAAAAAAATTAGTCAAGGAAATTGTGTTGAGCTTATATCCTGGCTAAAAAATGCTTAGTGCAATATCAAATTGTGTTCTATACAATATTAATGTCTTAAGAGTTTATACTAGTTATCCTATTCTATGCTTCTTTAGGAAATTAATAGTAAGTATTATATCCGAAAAGCTTTTAAAATTATCTATAATAAAGAAATTCAGGCCTATCTAGATAACCTGAATTTAATATCCAATTTCAAATTTATTTGCTGTTTCACATTAGAACATTTATTCAGATTCTGTACTTCAGTATTCTTATATAAAAATGCAAATAATAATGGTATTCCCTGCTTAAGGTTGGTATGGATATTAAATAACTTAATATAGGTAAAAAACTTAAAAGAGTGGATGCTATATGGCTTAAGTGCTATATAAGGTTTTTGTTATGAATCTACTGTTGTACAATTTGGCTTTGAACTCCCTTACTTCTCTTCCTTCTTCCATTTTTAAAACAGGTTTTATTTTTAACTTTTTGTGTAATAAATAGTCAAATGGCACATAGGAAATGTATCATCTAATAGAATGTACACCTACTATTAGAAGAGTTTATATGTGTCAAAAATTCTTTTTAAATGTTTTTGGAAAATGTGGATACAAATCAGTTTTGATAAATTGCTTAAATCTTGCTTATAATTTTAACAGTAGATGAAATGGGACTATTTGAAGAAATTACTTGACTTTCAAACTTTTAAATGCTTATTATGCATTTTCAGAAGTCTATAAGAAAATAAGCAGTTGCTTAGCAACTTGGAATTTTGTTAGGCAGTTCAGGATGTGGAGCAGCAGTTTGTTCAAAATAGCAGCCAGGCTTCTCCTGGTCTCTGATTTGGTTGCCTCTCCGTAGTGCTATGTTGCTTGCCCTGCCAACGCTTCCTAATATTTCACTATTTCTGCTCTATTCTGAACTGCTCTATTCTGAACTGTCTTATGTACATCCTCCAGTCTGTTGTCTTTATAGGGCAAGGTGAACTTTGGTACAGATGTGTTGTCTTCTTTCTTAATATCTATGTGTAATTCAAGCAAGTTTTCAAAATATCTTTGGCTATGTAAACAGCAGCTATCTAGGTTGTAAGAACTTCCCAAATTGTATTTTGTCAACCTTTACCTCACAGCCATAGCATTGAACTAAGTAATTTTTTATGTTGTACTTATCCCTGAATGCCAATCTTAAGAACTATTGTAATATTGTACTGTAAGTACTTATATGTAGCTTCTCTGTTTATTTATTTATTTATTTATTTTACTCTTAGATCCTATAGATTTCACCTTAGTTGCATTCTGAAACTTTTAGAGTCCAGGTATTTTTCTGAATACAGTTCAGAGCATTAACATCTCCTGAAAATAAGCCTGAATACTACCTCTGCTTGGAAAAACTTATATTTTGCCAATTGATTTATAGGGAATTTCAAAACTGTTACCACTAGATTCAATGTAGTATATCACATTAACATTTCATATCACCAGATGTTTCATTATTCATATTGTAGTACATCATACTTGACCCAAAGTAGCTTTGAATTCAAATAACAAACAAGCCAACACAGGGTACTTGATGGGTAGACTGAAATAATGTGGCAGGTCTAAACTGCTTTTCATTTTGGGGAGAATATTATTAATTGGAATGCCTTGTCTCTTAATTTAATTAAATGTTGTTTTTAAGTATAAAACCATATTGCAGTGAACTGACTTGCCGTTTCATTTAATTAATTGAAAACCTCAAGATTTGATTACTCCTAGTTCTGCTTTAGTTAATTTACTTGTTCACAGTTTTGACAGAAAAGCTTTTAAACTAATGTGAAGGGATGGACACAGTATATCCAATTAGGAAATGCTAAATTTGCCTCACTTTTTGTTCAGTTCACTGCTGAGGACCCAAACTTACTAATTTCTCCCTGTAAATATTATTGGAATTCATAGATTACCCCCATACTTCTAGTGTAAGGACTACACATCACATGAAATTGTAAGTCTAATGCTTGTTTACTATTGAGAAAGGAATGCAAGAAATTTTTTTAAGAACATGCATGAATAATAAAAGAAAAATACTGCAGGTGTTTCAAAGAACTATACAATGCAAAGGAAATGTCCATGTAATATTTGAAGGAACTTAAGGACAATGAAGTCCAATTCCTTAATTTTGTATATGAATAAATGGAGGTATATAACATTTATGTGACACAATTGCTGCTTTTTTCTTTTCAATGACTCATAGGGCAGTGATCCATTTCAGAGTTTTTTTTTTTTTTAATGTTTTGTTTTAGTTGTAGTTGGACACAATACCTTTACTTAATTTTTATGTGGTGCTGAGGATCAAACCCAGGGCCTCCCACATGATAGGCGAATGCTTTACCGCTGAGCCACAACTCCAGCCCCCATTTTAGAGTATTTTTTTAAAAAGTGAAAATCAAAATTATGAATGTGTGGATTAGTGGACAAAGCACATAGGTGAAAAGTCATAAGACATGAGTTCCCTTTTTAACCCTACTACTGATTGGCTGTTATCTTAAGCCCCTCTCTCACTTTTCATCTGTGGACCTGAGAGTTTTTACCTATAAAATCCAGAAGCTGGTTTTGCTATTAAATGAAATTCTCACTCTTTAGTACTTTTCTCAATATCGTAATCCTGAAGTAGGACCTTATATACTTCAAAACAATAGCAGAAAATCATATATACACAATTATGATATGTGGGACTTTTTTCATACTTTTACACTGAATTTTAGGTTAAGAAAAGGGTGTGGAAAAATACAAAGTGAGGAAAGATTATTCATTCACAAACTTGTTTTGGACCAAACAGGATATACAGAAGCAGAAGGAAATCTGACCCTAATTATCACCAAACACAAAAATAATCTAAAAATGAATTAAACATAAAACCTGAAAGAGTAACTTCTAGCAGAAAATATAGGGAAAATTCTTCTTGACATTGGGCTTGGCCATCATTTCTTTCAAATGATACCAAAAGCACAGGCAACAAAAACAAAACACACAAGCATGACTACATCAACTAAATGGCTTCTGAAGAGAAAAGAATCAACATAGTGAAAAGGCACCCTATAGAATAGGAGAAAATATTTTTAGACTATGAATCAGATAAAGGGATAATACATAAGAAGACATACACGTATTATGAAAACATGTTCAATATCAATAACCTCAGGGAAATACAAGTCAAAATCACAATGAACTATCACCTCATATCTGTTAGGATATCTATTATTTATTTTAAAAATAAGAGTAGACAAGGATGTGGAGAAATGTGAACTCTTGCACACTATTGCTGAAAATTTAAATTGGTGCATCCACTAGGGGAAGAGTATGTAGGTTCCTCAGATAGTAAAAAATAGATCTACCATATGATCCAACAATCCCAATTCTGAGTATATATCTAAAGGAGTCAACATTAAGATATTAAATATATATCTTAATTTCTATTTCATCTATAGTATTATTCATAATAGCCAAGACAGAGGCAGCCTAAATGTACACAAAAGTGGTGTGTGTGTGTGTGTGTGTGTGTGTATCATACAATGGAAAGTTATTCATCCTTAAAAAAGAAGGAAATGTTACCATTTATTAAAACATGGATAAACCTGGAAGATGTTATACTAAAGTGAAGATACAAAGGAACAAATATTGCAGTATATCACTTACCTGATGATTCTAAAATATTGAGACTCATAGAACTGGTGAACAAAATAGACATTGTCATGACCCAGGGGGGAGAGGAAACAGGAACCTATTAGTCAAAATACAAAGTTTTGCATACTTTAAATTTTTCTAAAAATAGATCTTATATTAAGTGTTCTTAACATTCATGAAAAATAATACAGTGCATGAGAGGAATATTATTGAGATAAATGATAGGTTTATGGCATAGATTGTACTGATAGTTTCATTGGGTTTGTACTTACCTCCAAAGTCATCTGTTTTAGTCAGCTTTTTCGCCACTGTGACTAAAAAGACCTAATAAGAACAATTAGAAGAGGAGAAGTTTATTTTGTAGCTCACAGTTTCAGAACTCTCAGTCCATAGGTGGCTTACTCCATTACCTAGGGCCTAAGATGAGGCAGAACATCATGGTGGAATAGTGTGACAGAGACAAACAGCTTAGGGCATGGCCACCCAGAAGAAGAGAGAAACAGAGAGCTCTCCTCATCACAACAAATATAAACCCCAAAGGCACCACCCAAGGATCCACCTCCTCTAGCCACACACTACCTGCCTATAGTCACCACCCAGTTAAACCCTATCAGGGTAATAATGCACTGATTAGGTCAAAACTCTCATAACCCAGTTATTTCACCTCTAAACACTTTTTAGCCTTGATTTACACATGAGCTTTTGGGGAACACCTAACATCAAATTGCATACATTGTATATTTATAGCTTTTTTTAATGTCAGTCATGCCTCAATAAAGTGTTTTAATAAGAAACAGTAAATCCAATAATTTAATAAATTTTAATTACAAAAGGGAAAATATGGAGTACCTTAAAAGCTGTGCACTTTCACATGCTAAATAATTACAGTAGCTAGAATTTAATCCAATAAAAAACTTGATGAACAAGAATGGAAGGTACTAAGGTTACAGAAGTAAATGTTCAAATATTTGAAAGTGAAAAATGTGTTTCTTCAATAACACTGAATCTCTGTCTTTTCAAATCTATTTTATTAATTTAAATATATATGCTTTGAACATAATATAAAATAAGCATTATTTTCAGAATCAAAGATGTATGTCTAGATATTTACCTATAATTATGTAACTTCACTTTTAAAAGCATCTTTTCATTCTCACTACACTTACGATTTTCTAGTTTTCGATCCAAGCTGATATCTTGGATCCCAAGTAAAATTTAACTAAATAACTCACAAATTTAGCTTTAACAATTATTGTCTTTATATACTCTCAAGGATGCATTTTGAGAACTTGTGGAGAGATGCTGATTTTTTTCTTTTAAATCCTTCAGTGGTACACCAAGAGAGACCCTGAAAATAAGAATATAACTTGTTGTGGGGCAGGTCTCTCAGAAAACACATAAAGTTTCAGTATTGTCCAAACCAAAGAGTGTTTATTTAGCCATCTGGCTGTTGACTTCTCCCCACAGGATCCATAACTATCTCTGCAAGGAACTGCCCCGAGCCTGAGCATTTTAGGATATTTAAAGGCAAAAACCACATCTGTGTGGACATAGCTGCAAGCAAGCAGGTACAGAAGCTGAATTGGGCAGTTAGCGAGACAATGCAATGGGTACATTGGTATTTCCCAGGAGACTTTCTAGGTTGGCATAGAAGCAAGCAAGCAGAAGGGAAGTGGCTCAAAATGACCTTAGTTCAGTATATGTTAGAGAATGGTTACTAATGTTTAAATAATCAACCTCTGACAAGGCACATCGCCCAAGAAAAATGGAAACCAAAGAGAACAATTTTACATTGTATAAGAATTACTATTTTGTGTTGCCAAGTATGTTATGATAGGTAACTATTAATAGAGGCAGGGCTTTCCCATGGGAGAAGCATTTCTTACTTAATATAGAGTCTCATGGTAAAATGGAGTCTGTTTGGTCATTGCCCATATAACCTGGCCCATAACATAACTCATCAGTTGAATAAAAGATCAAATTTCTTTGAGAACATCAAAGAAACCATTACATATCTTCTATTGCTTCACTGTGCTTGATTGTGTATTTATCTAAAAACATAGATATTCAGGCACTGCATTGAAGACTTAACAAACAGAATTTAAGGATTTCATAAAACTCACTGCACTATAGACATGAGGCAATATAAAATATAGAAGTTATAAACTAGGTCTCTATACTTTGAATCAAGTAAGGAGATACAGAAAGATAACTAACAATATTCAACTATATGTGTCACGTGAATTTTGTCATTCAGAGGTTTTCATTAAATAATTTTAGAGCTTCTTTAGCACTTTAACAAGCTTGTTTAAGAAATGGACTTTTACTCCATCTCTTCCCCTAAATAAATGACCCATGAGATCACTGCAAGATTTAGTTTCCTTATCTGCAATACAAAAAAATTGAACTAGATAGCTCCTAAATTTTTTGTGTGATAATATGATATGATTCTTTATACCTTAATATTACCTTATTAATATTGCTCACTGACTTTTTTTCAATATTATAAAATAGAATTTGCTTATAAAAATATATACATATTAATATTTGCTATCTTTTCTGTAAATTAAAAGTATGTGGGGACTCTTGTTCATTAATTTTCTTAATTTGAGTGTGTTAAGACACTTATTTTGTCTGGAACTCCTTGTCTACAAGAAGTTTAAATTTTGTCAACTGTTATTTTTTATCAAGTAGAAGCCACTTATTGTTTACAGAAATTCATATTTACAATAGAAATAGTGAAATAAATATTAATTAATTATTGTCAGAATTCAATTCTGAGGAGTTTATACAAATTCTAAAAAGTTTTCTGATACATTTTTCATTAAGATTTACTCAGCCCTGTTTTTCCTGGGAAGGTTCCCTTTGATTAAATCATTGACATCATTATTTTCTGCCCAGAATTACTCTTGAGGCCAGGAGAGGTCATTTGGAGGAATTCAGTAAAGGTAAATTAAATATGGCAATAAAACCTCTGGGATTGTAGAGAATGTACACATGTATGTCATCAGTTTATAAACTAAAGCAATTTTCTTTCAAATCATTTTTTGCCGTAATTTAGAGACAAACCATGTGGTGAATATTTTGATTCATTGAAAAAATTTTTTGCAGGGTAGAGTATGGAGCGACAAATTAAAACTGTATTATTCTCCAGAACATTCAGAGATAGGTGTACTAGGCTGAATCTGCTTTTATTTATGCTTTTCGTAGGGATTTACTCTGCCTCTTAGAATCAGGATCTTCTAGTTACAATTACATTTTGTTTTGCAACAACTGATATTCCCCATATTTCTTGGACATGCATTTTACATGGTAGAATAGATCTTGCAGAACTCTGAAACACTATTTTAAAAATCTGCCATTTTTTTCTCCTTTTGTCCTAGTGTAATAATTTACTAATAGATGGTTGAGAATTTGGAGTATATCTAAAAAAAAAAAAAAAAAAAAAACAAGTTGAATTCACCAGACACTTTGGAGGGCATAGTTGGAGTATGGGTTCATCTACTCTTTTTACTACTTGTCCCCTTATATATTTTTGTGGTACTGCCTGATATAGACTTTCTAGGAGAAAGAATTTCAAACATATATCATCTATTTCCATTCTTCCTTCATAATAATAAGTGGATTTTTAAAATAACTTCCATATAATACCAAATAATATAATTATACCACAGGGACTGATAATAATGATGACAAGCCATTTTTTTCACTTATTTGGTTCCTCATTTTGTAAGTATGAGGTATGTAAGAGGATGAAAGACCTACATGAATGCTTCCTTCTTCCCTGCTCTAGGCTGAGTCTCCTAGGCTAGACATTTTATCCTTTAGCAGAAGTGTCAAGAAGAATGTATTGTAGAAAGGGTTCCTTGCAGCATTTCAGGGTACTTTCTCTGATAATATTGTTTTAAACTAATTAATTTTGTTGTTTTCATTAAGTGAAAATTAATGCATTAATGAAAATTAATGCATACTGAATTCTGTTTAAAACAAAAGTCCAGAGTTCTAGGCAGATACTAGAAAGCATTATCAAAAGCCTTAGAATATTTCAAACAATTGGCATTTTACTTATCTCTGTTTTTCTGTGTCTTGAATTGGAGATCAGACCCATACTTATCCTCTTTTGTAAATTTTAATGCTGTCCATTGTAATATAAATGAATTATATTTTGAAAATTACCTTATTAAAATATTCATAATTTCAACATTGATTTTACTTTTGGCTTGTATTGTACAGCATAGTCCTACTAAATAAATGTATTCAGCTTTCAGTTACATTAAGAAATGGTCCCAATTTTAAATGGGATGATTCTGGTTTTAGGTATAACTGCTGCAGCAATGGCTGAAGCAATGAAACTGCAGAAGATGAAACTCATGGCTATGAACACACTTCAGGGAAATGGAAGCCAAAATGGGACTGAATCAGAGCCTGATGATCTTAATTCTAACACAGGTAAGTATATTCAGGGATCCTAAAAAGGTGACTATCCTTTTTTGAGGGGCGGGGGAGAAGTGGAATTAAGAAGGAAGAAGAAATATATATACGTTGATTACAAACAATTGCTTCAGAAGATACTTAACCCTATTGATAACTTGTACACTGAATCTAGAAAATGATTAGAGATCACAATCTTATTTCAGAAACATTCCATTATCTCCATTGATTTGTTGCAGTGGAATTGAATTCTGATTTGTACAGTGCTAGTCAATCAATGTACTTTCTGTGTGCTAAAGCCTGCCCTATTATTGCAGCTTCACCCCATGTTTCTTATTCCATTCTTATCTAAATAATTCATATTTATTAAGTATACACAATGTACAATAGTTAAACAGCAATAAGGCAATATGTTGGTACTCTGAGGACAGAAGACAAGAGTCACTGGATTTCAAATGTGTACAATCTAAGGAAAGAGACAAAAGTATACATATATCCAGGTGTGCTGGCACATGCCTGTAATTCCAGCAACTCAATAGGCTGAGGCAAGAGGATCACAAGTTCAAGGCCACAGTTCCCTAATCAACTTAGCCGGACCCTGCATCTAAATAAAAAGGGGTGGGAATGAGGTTCAGTGGTTAAGCACCCCTGGGTTCAATCCCAGGTACTCCACCCCTACAAATGTACAAATATGAATATACCACAGTGAATTTCACCTTTATGTGTAGCTCTAAAATACCAGTTAAAAACTGTAATTAAATTGAAGGAAATCAAATACAATACTGAAAGGAGAACAGGGGGAAGGAGGAGGGGAGGGAAGAGGAAGTATAGGGCACTTCAGTGGAGCAAATTATATTTCATGCATATATGTTTATGTCAAATGAACCTAAAGGTTATATACAACTATAAAGAACTAATAAAACATGAAAATAAAAATGAATTAATGTATAAAATATACTCTGAGATAAAATGTGACAAAAGCAACAAGATAAATAAAGTACTATGAGAATATAAAGAGAGAAGAAATTTCTAAATAAATCAGAAAAATATTCATGTATAGGGTGAGGTATTTGAGTAGGAGATGATGTTAAAGTGAAACTCAGAAAATGGATGGCTTTAAATGATGTTTTAAATAGATAGGACTATTCCCCTAGGTAACCATTTCCAAATTGTGGTTTTCAGAATCTCTCATATTGTGTCTAAGATATTGTTTGAGGAAATTGTTGTGTTTGATTACTAGTAAGTTTTAATAAACATTCTTAGGTCAACTCTAGAGCTCCCGTTGTTTACAGTGTTATTGACAAAGATTTCTAAATTTGAATTTTGGATGTCTTAGTGACTTGAAATAATTAAGCCTTATCCCACAGACGATAAGAAATTGGATAAGAAATTGGGTCATCAAGTAGCTAGGTAAGGAAAGAGCTAGCACTGAGACATATTCTCTTGGTCTTTTTGTTTAACATTATTTCTTTAATGTTTGAATTGATTTTCTAGTATAATCTAAGGTACATAGTTTCTTTCTTTGGTATTACATCTCAATCAATAATTCTAGACATGGAGATGCGGCTGGTAAAAGGACTTGTCCTTAATTTGGTATGACCAATTTTCTATTCATGATTTAGTCTAAAGAGTATTCTGGATATTATGGTTTTGACGATATCTCTGATAGTTTTTTTTTCTTTTTTGATATTCTTTTTTTCATTAAGGGAGGTATAGTAAACAAATGTTTCACTAGATTTCTAAAACTGTCTCCAATAATCAAGTTATAAAATTTCTGTTAGACCTACAAATATTCCAAGCAATTAAATGTTTTAAAATTTTGCTTTCATTTTAAATGTAAGCTTGATGACTTAAATCCTAGCTCTGAAATTGTGCTGAGTGAATATTTCCCTTTGTTTCCCTCATGGGAAGCTTTTGTTTCTATAAGGCACAACTAAAGACAGAAATGAATGGTCTCTGTTCACTTCATTTATTTGTGGCCATATGGACATTTTACCTGAGAAAATTTTGGCTTTTATAAGCCATTTTCATTATGATCTATGTGACCAGAAAAAAATTTTAAAAGATTTTTCTTCTTTTAAATTTCAGATGGTGCATGTTGTTTTAAATGCCATATTGTGACAGCATTGCTATTCAATTTCATCACAGTGTTTAGTTGCTAAATCTCCAGAAGGCAAATTATAGCAGCTATAAAAAGATACAAAATATTCAACTAAAATATTTCTGTTGGTGTTAATATGTTTACCTATCTTGTCATTTTAAAAAGAATCACATTCTATTTTCTCTGCATATTCCTTGTAACTTCTTATTCCAATATCCATTTCCATTGACTCTTGCTATTTATTTATGGAAGTCCTAGCATTTATTTGTTTGTGATAGGTTTTTATCAAAATATGTATTAAATATCATGTTCTACACATTCAACTCCACAGGAAAATGTGCAAAAAGGAAACACATTCCTAGAAGTTATACTATCAACCATTATTCATTTTGTTCTTTACAAAAACAACCAAAGTAGTCATAGTTCCCAAACTCTTATGATCTAAGAAAATAAACAGGACACTGACCTGAAAATGTAGGAAGCTTGTGTTAAATTGAAATGGAAGAAAAGAAGTCTCCCTTTGGAAGTTTTTATATACCCTCATATTTCATTGAAATTGAAATTTTTGATGGATTCTGTAAGAGCAGAGATAAGAGAGAGGAAAATGGAATTAATGACATTTATCTTTAAAAGGTAAAGCAAACATAGATGTTAGAAGATTTCTAGGCAAGAATAGCATTTTCTCTTTTGAAGACAGACCTATAGTTTCTTTGATTCAAGGTTTTGTTTAATAGCTTCTGTAATGGCTGCACCATGACTCTGCATCAAGATTTCAGCATGAATAACAACCTGTTCGTGTTTCATTTAGCTCCAAATGAGAAATTCTGTCTTTTATTGTTTTAGGAAATTAGTCTGTGTACTATTGCTCCTGTAGCTTTATAATTAATCACTAAAGGTTATGGCTGTGGAGAGTTTGTGGGAAATAGATGCCTGAATGATTATAATTGTAGCTGTCAAATTGGAAATATAATTATAGACCAGCAGGTCCTTTTTAAAAACTATGACAAAAACTTTGAGGGTTACCTATTTACATGTAGAAATACATGGGTTATTTTTAACTGTGTTTCTTATTTCAGGAAGAACTGTGCACCATAAGTCCTCTGGAGAGTCTAAGACGATAACCATGAAAATCTTTATCCTCTGTGTCTCTGCTTATTCTGACTTTTGTGTTGATTTAGCTTCTGTGGAGCAGGTGTTTTTTGTCTTTTAGAAATGTAGAGTATTTTGTCTTTTAGAAAATATAGTTTACAGTGGAAATAACTGAAGTTGATTAACTTGCAAGTTTGAATTAGAAAATCCCAAGATTATCTTTTTTCTTTGTTATCCAAACACCTCATTAGATATGGAGCAAGATGTTTCTAGAGAATCAAATGAGTCACACTTGTTTTTATTAAATCTTGACACCAAAAACTGCGTTTAGGTTTTCCTCTTAGAATTGTAAACTTTTGCTGTTCTTTTCTACTTCTGTGCCTCTGGCCCCTTTATAAGAAATGTAAACCAGGAGAGCTTATTGTATTTTTCAAGACCCTTTTAAAAACGTATTCCAACAGGAATTATTATGTCTACTCTTAATACTTCATGTAGAAGATTAAGGATTTATTGTTTTGTCAGTGTTATTAAGGTAAGTTTCTATAAAAGTACCTCAGAGTTAAGCCTTAGCATACCTCTTCTTCACAATGAATAATTTAAAATAATGTCTTCTTTCCTTACAGATCTTATTTATCAACCTGTAATCATTCTAGTATTTCTTTCAAAGCCTCCACCTTCCTCTTGCTCTCAGATAGGCTATTAATCCAAAGTGTTAAATGCCAATTCTAAGGGAGGATCTAAGCTGTATTGAATTTAATTTGCTTTCTGTGTCTTATACTTCTTGTATGTGTCTGAGATTTTGAACATTTAAGCTAGATGCCTAGCTCTATTACAGTTTTGTTCTGCAATTTTAAACAAGTCTCTTTCTCTTCATACCTTAGTTATAATGAATGAGTTTGGTATAATTATATTGGATTTAAGTTGTAATTATCATTTTTTTGTGATTCTTGAACCTCATTGGTTGATCCCCATCTTCTCTTTTTATTCTTTTCACTTAATGGGTACTTTTTTGAATCTAGAGCTCTTATAGTCCACACTATTTCTTTCTTTTTTGGGGGGGTACCAGGCATTGAACTCAGGGGCACTCGATCACTAAGCCATATCCCCAGCCCTATTTTGCATTTTATTTAGATACAGGGTCTCCCTGAGTTGCTTAGCACCTTGCTGTTGCTGAGGTTGACTTTGAACTCACAATCCTTCTGCCTCAGCCTCCTAAGCTGCTGGGATTACAAGTGTGCACCACCATGACCAGCCAACCTGTTTATTTCTTACTGGATCTTCCACTCTGTGTTGTCACTTCAGATTCTGAACAAATCCTCAAAATTTTTACATTGGTGTCTCCTGATCAAAATCTGCTCTATTTTCAGGCACTAATAGAAATGTCTTCCCTGCACTTGAGATCTAGGAAACTTTGCTGTATAATTGTCCATAATTAACTTTAATCCATGGGTGACCACTCTTTGAATGTCCCTTTTCTGCTTCTTACTTCCTGGGAACACTATCTAAGTGTGTGACCTGTTTGGATTTTCACAGTTTATTGATGATCCAATTGTTTAGACAGGTCTCAAAAACCTTGATAAAGTTAAAATAAATTATATCTACTGCTTCACCTCTATTTCTCAGGCTGTTGTTTTTTCACAGAAGGGAGATTAGATTTACTTAAAAAAGCTTGGTCTTTAGGAAGCCATGCTGGGTATTCCCCATCATACTGTTCTTTTCAAAGTATTTGGAAATTGATTAGTACTACATTCCAGGACATATATCTTATTTTACAGACTACATACGAACAGATAAAACAAATACCAGAAAAGAAAAAAAATGTAAGGAA